CGGGGACCTCCCGGCCCCCAGCCACAGACCCTCCGAGACCCTCCGGAGCCGAGACCCTCAGCAGCACCCCAACGCCGGCGCCGCCCACCCGACCCACCCCTGGCACCCAGCCTCTCCGAGGAACCCAGCCAGGACCCAGCACCGCACGGGAGGAACCTCTTGACCACCAGCTGGGAACCAGCACCCTTGGCCGGTCAGACACCCCTGAATCGACCCCAGGCGTGCCCTCTGAACTCAGCACGCAGGTGGACGGCCGCCTCGGGTCCGAGTCAGAGCCGCCCTCCACGAACGCCTCCCCCCCAGGGCCTGGCTCCAGCCCTCGGGCCGCTCCCACTGACCAGTCGGCGGCGGGCAGCACCACCGAGCGCCCAACTCCTTCACCCCCACCCCCTTGGGCCTCCTTCACCTTCAGGCCCCAGGAGGGTCTTCCGCCTGAGGCCAGCCGGCAGGTAAGGGACGCCGAGAGGCGGGGGGCAGGTGATGTCTTTCCAACAGGTTGCTTTGGGAAGGAATGAGGAAGGTAATGGAGTCCGTTTTCTAAAGCCACGGGGCCAGTGGGACCTTAAGGGACTTGACGGCTTGTCAGGAGAGATACTGAATCGTTCCTTTGACCAAGCGTTGCTAGAGGCATCACAACAGGAATTGGATGCTTGGGGGTATGATCTGGGGGACACCCCCCAACCCAGCCCTCCCAGGGACCCACCCCCAGACTTCCTTCTGACAGATGCTGGAGGAGACACTCAGTGACTTCAACCGCGCGGTCCAGACCTCGCAAGAAGGTCCACAGGGGCTGGAGGAGGCCGCTGAGCGCCTGAAGCTTCTCACCAGTACCCCGGCTCTGCTCTCCAAGGATGCTCAGGTAAATGGTAGGCAGGCCGGGAGGAAGGAAGGAAGGAAGCAATCGCAGGCAGAAGCCCAGAAAGCCACTGCCACCCGGCTCTCCAGACCCCCTCCTTCTGTGTCCTGGGCTGGGCCAGGCTGGCTGCACGCCAGGAAGAGAAGCTCTTGCCCTCTCCACCCTGCTCTTTCCATCCCTTTTGGCACCACCTGAGCAACTGATCTTTCCTTTCCCCCCCCCATTTGCCCCCCAGGCCTCGGCCACCCACTCCCTCCTGTCCTTGAGCTCTCGGCTACGAACGGTCCCTCCTGGTCTTCTTGCTGCCGACACAGCCCGGCCGAGCTCTGAGGCCACTGCGGCTGCCTCCCAGGCGCTCTTCGGGTGCTTCAGCAACCTCCTGCAGGCCATGAACGAGTCCAGTGGGGAGCAGCAACAGGTGAGGGCGCAGGGAGTGGGGGGAAGCCCTGTGGGGGGGCAGGAAACTGTCTTTTCTTGCAACCGGGGCCAAAGTGGGCAAAACACACTGCAGTCAGTGGAGGCGAGACTTTCCTTGCTGCATGGCTGGACTTCAAGGGTCTAGAAATCCCCACCGATGTGGGATGGGCCCTGAGGCTCCGCTGGCTGCCCGCTTCCACCAGACCTGGGGCCGCAGGTCAGCCTGCCTGCCTGAAACCCATGTCTCTTCCCCAGGAGCCAGCCGCCCTGGAAGAGACGCTCTCCGCACTGCCTCTCATCCAGCGAGGGCTCCTGCTGGGCCGATCCTCCGTGAGCGCCGTCTCTCCGATGCTCAGCACCAGCCTTAGCCGGTATCCAGAGGAGGGCAGAGGATGCACATGGGGTGGGGGGTGGGGGGCTGGCAGCAGGGAGAGCAGCCTCCTCCTCTCCTCTCCTCTCTTCTCTCCTTCCAGCTGCAGCGCTCCTTCCTTGCCTCTCAGCTCTTTCCACCTGCACCTCCCAAAGGCCATGAGCGTCACCTTCCCGTCTGCCTCGGCGCTGGCACCTGTACTGGGGAAGCACCGAAAGGTGCTGGTCCAGGTAAGTAGGGGCTTCTCAACGCACAAAGCTGGCTGCCTTCCTCCGCTGGACAAGCCTCCCTATTGAGGAGGCTGGAAGGCCAACTACGTAGAAAACCCCAAATAAGAGGTCCTACGAAGAAGTTGTCCTACTTTGGGCACATCATGGGAAGGCAAGACTGGCTGGAAAAGGCCGTGCTAGGAAAGTGGGAGGCAACAGCAGGGAAAGAGGAAGACTGCAACGTGAGATGGACTGATTCCATAAAGGTTACCACTCATCCAAGTTGACTTGATGGCCTGTAAGAAAAGCAAAGGTGTTGAATTGCAATCCAATGCAATGCGTGCAGGAACTACAGAGCTGGAAGGGGCCCCACGAATCATCGAGTCCAGCTCCTGTCAAGGAGGCACAGACGGGGAATCAAACTCTCAACCTCCAGCTCCAGAGTTGGAGGCCTAAACCACTGAGCTATCCAACAGGACAGTATAATAAATCCAGAGACATTGCAAGAAAGATACGTAGCTTACAGAACACTCTATGTGCTCATAATAAGATGCCCTTTTTTGAACACTGATATGTAGTCTATTCATAACACATGAAATTATAAATGTGTCAAATTGATTTAAAAAAGAGTCTGGTCTGATCCAATTCACTAAATTATGTACTATAAGAAACGTACAGCAAAAACAATCTAACAATGTAAGTCTATGTGTATCTTATATTCATAACATTTAGATAACAAATGGAAAACATGTTCGGTTGCATGTTTGTTAAAAGTTTATTTTGATTTCCTTTTTTTTTAACAATGTACGGATATTTGTGTAATGAAAAACAAAACTGAAAAAGTTTATTCAAAACAAAAAAAGTAAATGTGTACCAAATACAAAATGATATACATGGATAATCTAAACATACAGATCCGTTGTTGAGTCTAGACTGAGGCAGAGGGTTCGGCTAAAGAAACTGAAGAATTTTTTTTCCAGCCTGGAGAACAGAAGATGAAATGATGACCCGTAAACTATCTTCATTTATTTCCAAGGCTGTCTCACGGAAGTTGTGGGAACCTTGTTTTCTAAATGTTCGAAAGGCAAGGTCCCAGATTTATAGGAGAAAAACCCCACTTCATTTATTTCCAAGGCTGTCTCACGGATGTTGTAGGAACCTTGTTTTCTAAAGGTTCAAAAGGCAAGCCCCAGACTAGTAGAGTCAAAGCAAAAACAGAAGTAAAGATAGATTTATAGGAGAAAACCCCCGAAGTCATGAAAATGTGTGCCTATTAAGACAGAGCTTCTGTCTCATGTCTGGGAGTTCCTTTGATGGCTGGGCTTCAAGACTTAAGCACAAAGTGCCTTCAAAGTCTGATTTTGCAAGTTCAGAAGGCTGCCTGAGTCACTTCTCTCCAACATCAACAGGCTTTCAGCTCTGCTTGCATCCATAGGTAAGGTCTGCATCTGGCCCCAGATGGAAAGAAAGAAATATTAAGAAGGACAGCCTAGCGCTAAAGATTGCTCAGGTGTGGAGCTGATGGCCTTGGAAAGGGGAACAGCAATGCTGCTGTTGCAGCTTCTGAAACGGACGTTGGATGGTCAGGGACGGCTTAAGCTATGGAGTCATGCATAGGCAGGGGGGTCAGAGTAGATGACCTCAAGGTCCCTAAGCAGCAAATCTCCAGGGTTTCAGGCTGCAGAGGGGTCATTCCCAGCCTGACCGTCGAGGATGGCAGTTCAGGAGTCTTGTGTGGCATAGCGTGGACATTCTTTGGCTCTTCCCTTCTCTCCAGGTGGCCTGCTTTGCCTTCAATCCCTTTAGACAACTGGATGGGAAGCGGATGAAGAGCGTGGCCAACGTGGCCCTCGCCGCCCACCTGGAAGAGCCGCTCCCTGTTCAAAACCTCACAGAGGAGATTGAGGTGGGCTTGGGATTCCTGGATGGGTGGGGGATGTTTGACCCGCAAGCCCCCCCCCCAGATATCTTTGAATGCACATCTCCAAGTCTGGGGCTGCAGCCATGTGCAGGTTGGTGTTCTTGGACTACAACACCCAAAATAACCACATTGGGGATTCTGGGAGTTGTAGTCCTTCTCCAGCATCCATGTCTGCAGGCCTCTATTGCTTGCCTTCTGAAATCAGGTCCGATGTGGTGTGTTCAGGGGGATCAGGCAGTGAGAGACAGGATCCGTCTGCCAGGCCAGGCGAGTCACTCATCACCACGAGAGGCCAGCCTAGCCCTCGGCGATGCCCATAAGAGAGGAAGATTGTGGTGTCGTTACTTGGTCCCCAAGGAGGAGAGATATGTTTTGTAGCTTCCGTTTCTTGTGCAGATTGCTCTCGAGGGAGACACAGAGATGGGCGAACCCTCGAGGGTCAGCTTGAACGCGAGCGCTCGGATGCTCGATATCGTGGTAAACGTGACGTCGCTGGAGGATGCTCTCCTGGTGTCCGTGAGACCCAACGCGCCCCTCCAGATCACCGTGCGCCTGAGCGCCCACCCCGACGGCAGCCACGAGCTCCTTAACACCACGTTGCCCAGAGCGGAATGGCAACAGGGTGAGGATGAGAAGGAAGGAAGGAAGGGAGCCACCAGGGAGGGAGCTGGGGTTTGGAACCATGGAAAAGGGGTGCCAGGCAGCGCGGTGTCGTGGTTAGAGGGTTAGACCGGACCCGAGAGACTGGGGTGCAAATCAGCACTCAGGTATGGAGCTCATCGGGGGAACTTTGGTCAGTCACAAGCTTTTAGCTCGACCTACACCACAGGCTCGTTGTGAGGCTAACGCAGGCAGGCAGAAGAGCCACGAAGGCCACTTTTGAATCCACTGGAAGATAATCTGGGGTTTAAAAGTAAGAAAGAAATAAGTAGAAACAAAATTTAAAAAGCTTTTAAAAAGTCAAAAACGAGGCAAAATAAAAAGTTTTTAAAAAGTCAAAAACGAGGCGGCACCTTAAAGACTAACTTTATATATATTTAATGTGAGTTTTTGTGGAAGCGTGGCACTTCCACGACAGCCTAACACAGCTACACCTTCTACAAGGAAATGAGTAGAGCTGAATGGGATCATCCTCGGTTCCCCGGAGGGCAGCGCTGGGACCAGAAGACGGGGTGCTGTCTTCTGGCCTCGTGATGACGTCCCTGGGGTCGAAGAGGCCGCATGCTGCCCCTTTTGGCCCCTGCTGACCCCTTGCTCTTGCTCCAGACGGGGCCTACGTTTGGGTGATTCCCCCGGAGAACTTCCGCCACGGCCTCGGCACCTACTACTTCTCGGCTGAGATGCCCTCCCAAGTTCATGCAAACGTCACCCTCTCCGTGGACGTCATCAGCGCCGGGTGCTACTACTGGGCCCGCCAGCATCAGGCCTGGAGAACCGACGGATGCCGGGTAGGGCGGAGGGTCGGCCAAAACGGCTGAGTGCCGGGGGGGGGAGGATTGGCGGGGAGGTTTCCCATCACTCCGGGGGAGAGGTGGGGGGAATTCTCTTCCTGGATATGGTGGGAATTCTCTTCCCCTCTTTCCTTTCCCCAGGTGGGACCCCAAAGCACCCTCAACCGGACGCAGTGCCTCTGCAGCCACCTCAGCTTCTTCGGCCGCGTGGTCATCATCCTCCCACATATCATCCGCCTCCAGCACATGGGCCTGCTCCTGAGCCGAGTGGGCCAGAATCCGACCGGGTTGGCCCTGCTGGGCAGCCTCTTGCTGGCCTATGGGGCTGCCTTCCTTTGGGCTCGCTGGAAGCAGAGGGCGGATGTGGGGAAGGTGAGCCCCACCAGGAGATGGCACCGGGGGGGGGAGGACCACAGGGACATCTCCCCTTGAAGGGCAAGACCTCCAAGCGTGGGGCCTCACCCTGCCACCCATTGCTGCATCAGGCTGTCTTGCTCTGCCACTCCAGGTGAGGGTCACAATCCTGGCTGAGAACGACCCCACTGCCTGCCACCTCTACCTAGTCCAGGTCTTCACGGGTTATCGGCGAGGGGCGAGCACTTCTGCTCAGGTAAGGGGAAACCTCCTTCCCCCCCCCCAGCCTCGTTTTCTATCGTGTAGCAGCCGGAGGGGGCCGGATCCGAGCAAAGGCGGTTTGAGCCCAACACACTCCCAGTGACCCTTGCTGTGCCGTCCATCGGTCCACCCAATTGGACCAAGTCTCACCGGTGTGTCTTCTCATCGGTCCCAGAACTGGATGGATATTTGGATCCAAATTTCTGTTAGATGCAGATCTGCACCCTTTGGAGGTTTACACAAGAAAAGGAAATGGTCTACAAAACTGTTGGGAGTTTTGAATTGTTGATTAAGTTTCTCCAGTTGGGCAACAGAAGCACAGAGATTCACAAAACAAAATAGCTTCAAGTTCCCCTGAGCGGTCCGCCCCTTTCTCTCATCAACGGGCACTTATAGTCTCAAGAACTCACTCTGAGATATTAATAATAAACAGAATAAATTTTTTTTCTTTACTTACAGTTGTGAACGAATGAGTCAGCAAACTGACAAACGTAACTTCTTTCAACCACAGACGTCAACAGATGCTAGAGAAGGGGGAAAGCGCTGTGCAGAAAGGCGTGTTTTGTTTCCCGTTCCTCTCCTAATTCTCCGTCTCTGCCTCCAGGTCATCCTGACCCTGTATGGGACAGAGGGCCGAAGTCGGCCACGCTTGCTGGGACACCCCCAGGCACCCAGTTTTGAGCGCGGAGGAATGGATGCCTTTCTCCTCACCACACGGAGGTCCTTGGGTAACCTCCATGCTGTGCGACTCTGGCATGACAACGCAGGACCCCATCCCAGCTGGTAAATCAGCCTCTGAGCCAGTGAACCTGGTTGTAGGCCCAGGTTATGGGCTAGGAAGGCAACGTGGAGGGTGAATCAAGATGATGGTGCAGGTACAGTACCACCCCCATATCCATAGGGGAATGGGTTCCAAACCCCCTCCATGTTGAAAAACACAGATTATAGTGAATGCTAAGCATACTATAGTATGGTCTCTGGCTCCATCTAGTGGCCCATTCTGGAAATGACATCATAGAAATATGGATTTCTAGGATTTTTCTTTTAATATTTGCAAAATTTTCAGACCGTGGATAAGTTAATCAGCAGATACTGATCTAGTGGATACGGGGGTCCTACTGTATATCAAGACCGAGCCTATCAGAAGTTTGGGGGAGGTTGGAAGTATATACTTATATCAGGTACATGGAACAGAGAAAACTGCCTCGTACTGAGCCAGACTTTTGACCCCTCTTACCCTTTTGATACTAACTCTGGTTTACAGTAAATTTTTCCAATTTTGAGCCAGGTTCTTCCTTCGTCCCACCAGGAGATGCTGGAGGTTGAACCTACTCTGTTCTATTTCCAAAGTGAGGGCTCTAACACTGAGCTAGGAAGACCCTTCCCTTAAAACACCGGAAAAGAGGAAGGCTCTCACTGGCAGTCACGTTTCTCCAGGGTTTCAGGCAGGACCCTATGCTGCATGGGGGATTCTGGGAATCGTAGTCCAAACCCACATATCTGCACCTAATCCCCGGCAGCTGTCAAGAACCATAAGAACCAGAACAGACACCTTGGCTGATCCTGAAGCTTGTAAACTGGGGCATCACAAGGCTGGGTGGCAGCAATAGCCCTGTCTGAGCATCAGGGACTGATTTTACGTATACACAGGTTTGTATGCCGGGTGGTCGTCCATGACCTGCACACCGGGAAGCGGTGGTATTTCCTGTGTGACTCTTGGCTGGCCTCTGACATGGACGACGGTCAGGTGGACAAGGTCTTTGTGATCGCCTCTGAGAAGGAGCGCCTGTCCTTCAGGTAAGAATGGTGCTGAGTCCCCCTTCGAGCGATGGTGTTCTTCACTTCTGGGCGAATTCCTGTGCTTCAAACAGTTTTCACTCCTTCTACGTGGATTTTTCTGAAAGACGACGTTCCCTTCCAGCGGAGATCTGCCTGCCTCCGACACTTCTGCCTTCCTATCACTTTGCATAAGCTTTGGGGAAAATAAGCAAGTCCCGATTTTCGAACATTGCATATTTGTATTGCTTTCGTATCTTATCTATAGCAGATACTCTTCATCTGTGGCTTTAGATGCTTCTAATTTTAAGGGTGCATGATTTATGCTTTTAGATGGGTGAATTTAAATAGTTGTGATTTGTGATTTAAATTGCATCCGTTTTTACACCAATTGTTAGCTGCGCTGGAGCCTCACGAAGTTTCATGGGATATCAACTGAATAAATGCACGCATCTGTCCCCTGGCTTACCTGATGTAAATGTCAGAGGAGAGCTTCTTTTGAGCCACACTGAGAAGCAATGGTTTGGAAGGGGTTTCTAAACAGAGTGAAAGCTTACTGGAATTTGTGTCAGGTCAGCATTACTTGCTGTGGTTAATCGTGCCTAAATGATGAGGGGTCAGTGCCTAGGCGCGCACCTGATTGTGCCACGAACATGTCCCCCGGCACCTCTTCAATTAGCTACAATTAGCTGCAGCAAGCTGCACAGACTTCATGTAAACACTGATAGGATTCCAGCCTCTGTACTTCAAACAGGGGACAGTGAAGTTTTGGCATGAGGAAGCTAGAATAGAGAACTCATCGGACAATAATGCACAGAATCCCTCTGACCACGTGCTGCTGGCTTTTCTCTCCCCCCCCCCACTGCCCCCCTTCATGATTTGTATATCCAAGTGTGCTTTCTTGCTCCCAGGCAGACTTTAGCCCCAGTTCCCATCACTGTACAATCACCCATGATGGGAAAGGTGCTTCACGCCCCTGCCCAGGAGTGAGATGGGTCTCAAGCCTTGTCTCCCCATCTCACCAGCATCCTCTCCCCGTCCGTAGGCACCTGTTTTGGGAAGGGCTGGTGCAAAAGGTGACCCAGGAGCACCTCTGGCTGTCAGTGGTGACCTGCTCTCCCTGGAGCCCGTTCTCACGCATCCAGAGGCTCTCCTGCTGTTTGGCTGTCCTCCTCTGCTCCATGCTTATCAACATCATGTTTTGGAAAGAGCCACAAGAAGACAATCAGCAGACAGGTAAGTAGAAAGCCAGAAGATCTCCAGTGTGTGACCTCTAGTGCCTTCATCGCCCCTTTCCTGGGACAGCGAGGAAAGAAGCCGGCGCCCCAGGGCCCCAATGCGTCCTGGTGTTTTCAAAGCCGAGCGTTAAGGAGTTCCTCACTGCAACAGTGGGAGAGGTCTGGATTTCTCCTACCCCACCCCAACCCCCCCTCCCAGGCTCCAGCACATCCTTGCCAGGTTGTGCCCCACAGCAGCATCCATAGCTCATTGGAGGAGGACATGCTCTGGATTTCAAAGATTCCTGGTCCGATCCTTGCATCTCCAGTTCAGGTTGGCGATCCCCAGCCTGAAACCTGGGACAACGCTGCCTGTTGGTGCGGACGGCATACTGAGTGTCATGGACTAGTGGCTGCACGCAGCATTAAGTAAGGTGTTGGCAATGCAAGGGGATGTTTGTAGCTGACAGGGGGAGACCTTCCTCTGTAGGGGACAGCAGCTCCTGCTTCTCTTTAACAACCCTGCGCTCTGCAGAACCCTGGGGAGACAGAGGCCCCCACGGGTGCCCGAAGTGCCACGGCCCTTCCGGCTGCCAGGTTCTCCCTCTTCTCTTTCAGAGGCACCTTTCCCGGCGCCCCAGGGCCCCAATGCGTCCTGGCATTTTCAAAGCCGATCGTTAAGGAGTTCCTCACCACGGCCCGTCCGGCTGCCAGGTTCTCCCTCTTCCTTCTCTTTCAGAGGCACCTTTTATGGTGACGTGGCAGGAGCTGGTGGTGAGCGTGGAGGCCACCCTCCTCCTGCTTCCCCTGCAGCTGCTGATTGTGCACATCTTCCAGATGGTCCATGCCCCAGTCCCGGAGCCCTCTCCTGCCACCGTCAAGCCCTGGCAGCCTGGGTTGCTCCCTAAATCCGTGACTTCCCTCACGCACGTCCATCAGGTGGGACCCTCTGCCCCTGAGATCTTCCGGTGGGCTCTTGGAAAACAGAGATGCCGGGGCCTCCTTGAGAGGGGCTGGATTGGATGATCCCAAGGGTCCCTTCCAGCTCTGCTGTTCCAAGATTATTAGGGTTAGGGTTAGCTTAGTGGTCTAGGTCTCTGACTATGGAGCCAGAGGTTGGGAGTTCGATTCCCCCACAGGGGCTTCCTTGATTGGGGCTGGACTCCATGATTCAGAGAATCCCTGCAGCTCTAAATTTTTCGTGCACTCCCAAGGCTTGTCCTCATGGGAGCTATATAGGAGAGAGAAAAACAAAGTGTGGTTCCTCTCCAGGTAGCCACTTGCCACTCCTAAGGAGTTTCTCTCTCTCTGTCTCTCCCCTTCCCTCTTCCTTGGCAGGAACTGATGGAGACCCTGGGCTTCCTCTACAAGAACCGCCTCTGCCAGCACAGGGACGTAGACGGGTTCCCCAACAGTAGGCAAAACGTGCCAGAGCTGGTGGCCTTCCTGTGTGACCTTGTCAGTTCCCACCTCCAGCACTCAGAGGACCCAGAAGCCCCCCTTCAGGGTAACAGGAGCTGGTCGCTCCAGGAATGGCACGGCTGCCACTCATCCTCCTTGGTCCAGGCTAGGCAGAAACTGCCCCTCCCCTCTCGCTCTGCAAATCGCCTAGGAAATTTTGGGAGCTTGGCAGGCTTTACGGGTGGATTATCTACTAACTAGGGTCTAGGTGGGTGGATCTAACTCAGTGGTTCCTCACCTTAGGTCCCCAGACATTCTTGGACTGCAATTCCCAGAAGCCCTGGCCAGCACAGCTAGTAGTAAAGGCTTCTGGGAGTTGTAGTCTAAGAACATCTGGGGACCCAAGGTTGGGAACCACTGACCCACTTCCTTTTGTACTGCTTTATTTTCCAGAGAGATCCTGCAACCTCCACAGCTACCTCTGCCACGTGGTGAAGGACTTGGAGGCTCAGCTCCGGCGCCTGGATTGGGACACCCTTCCTCGCCCCTACGACCATCTGCATGCTGCGGATCAGTTGCACAAACTCTGGCAGAACCTGGAACAGCAACAGCAACGACAGCAACCATCACCTCATCCCAGCGCAGAGGAGACGTGGTATGCAAGAGGGAGCTCCCAGCCATTTCCCCACCTCAGTCGACCCCAGATCAAAACCATCATCTGGGAAAGAAAATCTTAAGTCAGCTGGAAGTGGGGAGCATGTGGGTCACCATGGGACAGTCATCCCCATTATTTTGAGCCAGAGCAGACATTGCGGAGTGAGGATGGGGGGTTGCTGTCCAACATCTCAGCAGCTTTAATTGCCCCTTTGCGCTTTTCACACACTCACACACAAGCTCTCAAGGTTGCTGCAGGAAGGCTATTGACTAAACAGAATTATTAGTGGTGACATCTATACCCTTGTGGTGAAACGCCTGATTCTCAGGGGTGTTGGTCTCTGGCTGTGGAGCCAGAGGTTGGGAGTTCAATTCCCCCCACCCCCCACCCCGTTGCCTCTTTGAGAGGGGCTGGACGGGATGATTCAAAGGGTCCCTTCCAGCTCTCCTGTTCTAAGAAAGCCTGAGGGGGCTTTCTTAAACATTTTTGAAATGTTTCTGAGGCCAGCTAGCACTTTTTGTTGTTGTCCACTTGCTTCTGATTTATGGCCACCCTACTAGGGTCTTCGTGGTGCATGAGACAGTTGAGGGATGGTTGACCCTCCCCCCCCCACTGATGACTTCCCCATAGCCAAGAGGCCATTTGAACCGAGGGCTCCTGAGTCTTCATCAGCAGATCCCTCAGCGACACCACGTTGTGTCTCAAGCGTATTTAAAGGTCTGCGGCCACAATACAGCATCTCCTTCCTCTAGGCCCCATCGCTGCTGCTGCTGCTGTTTCCGCCCGCCCAGGGCCAGCCCCCAGCAGAGAAGCCTCGCCGTCGAAGGTCCAGCCCAGGGGCCCCCACCGCCTCTCTTCTGCCGCCCCCTCCCCAGGAGGTTCGGCATCATCTGCTGGGCTGTCTTAGGGACCCTCAGCCTCATCGCTGGCTTCTTCACTCTGCTGTACAGCCTCCGAATGGATCGGAACCAGGCTGGGCACTGGGCTGTCACCATCCTGTTGTCCACACTGCAAAACGTCTTCCTCATGCAGCCCCTGAAGGTGGGCCGAGGCTCCGCATTCCCCCCCCGCCCGCCGCCCATAGGTCCCAAGCAGAGCGAGGGTGTCTTCCATCTGTCTTTAAGGAGGAAGGCGCATCTCAGCCGCCCCCCAAAAGTCACCACCAGCAGCTGCCCAGATCTTAGAGATCATGGTCCTTTACAGGCATTATCTGCAACCCTGTTTCTAAGGTCACAAGGGCAAGATGAAGTTACATTTGGAAAGCAATTTCCTGACGAGCCACACAAAAAATTAACTTTGCCCGGAGCGACGAGTAAAATGGTCCAGTTCACCTTCAAAAGTGGCTTTGTGAGGAACACTTTGAGGCGTTTGAGGAGGATTCGTAAACGTCCGACATAGCCTTCTCTTATCGAGCTTTTCTCCCCCACCACCACCACCAAAAGTAATGAGAAAGTAGCAGGTCTCTCAAGAAGCAACATTCCTCTTCCATCACTTTAAGGCACAGTCACTAAGGGCCTGCCTTTTGAAAGGTTTCTCAGCCCCGATGCTTCTACACGTGGTCAGGGGATGGCAGGCATCAGGTTCCTGAGGTCCCCTGGGGGGGAGAAAGGGGAGGCCGCCGAGGAGATGCTCCTGAGCTACTCTCCCGCATCCTTTGCAGGTGTTGGCCTTGACCGGCGTCTTCTCACTGATGCGCAAGGAGACGTGGGAGGACAAGGGAGTGGAGCAGCAGCTCCGTCACGTGGTCTGTCTCCTCACAGGTAACTCAAGCCCCCATCTTCCCTGCCCTTAGGGTGATGCACGCACGCACACACAGCCTTTGCTGCCTCGGCATCTTTCCTTCCGAAACACCACCCAGCTTCCTCTCCCTCCAGAAAAGCATCTACGTCCTGAATCTCCCGGCTGGGGAGCTTGGGCCGGCCCCTTGCACAGACCCCCTCCCCTCCAGCCCTCGGCGCGACCCACGGAGCGGGCCCTGAAAGAGAAGAAGCTGTTCTTGGCAGTGAGAGAGATTGCAGGTGAGGAGTGCGAGGTGCGCGGCTGGGAGGGAGGGAGGAACCGGCAGGCCCGTCATGGGAACGTTCTCACAGAAACACAGGAGAATGAGAGGGGAAAATAAATGGACAGAGGGCTATTTGTACTGACGCGCAGCTCTGGGTACAATGTGGGAGGACATCTCCGGGGTTTCCTCGCTCCCCACTGGGGCTGCTGGCACTCTGGCAAGTCAAAGATCCCTTCTCCTCGCCCCTCTTCTGTGTCCGTAGTGCAGCTCGCCTTCCTGGCTGTGTTGATGGTGCTCAGCTACACGGAAAGGGGCGTCAACGAATTCTACCTGAGCGACACCCTCCAGAAGAGCTTTGCGTACGAGCTGGATTCTGTCGCCACACCGCAGGATCTGTATGGCTGGGCTGGGGACACCCTGCTGCCTGCTGTCTATAGAGATGCTCAAGGTGAGGCTCCTAGGAGAAGGTGGGAAAGTCGAAGCGCCCATCTCCGCTGGCTTCCATCTCTGAAGAGCTTCCGCCTGGCAGCCAAGCTCACCTTTCCTTTCTTGCCCTCCCAGAAATGGCCATGGATGGAAATGCTTTCCTCGTGGGCAGCGTGAGGCTGCGGCAGATCCGAACGGCTGCAGTTGCTCCACCAAAGCCTGGGCCGTTTGTCCTGCTTGACCCAGACGAGGGGAAGGAAACCGCACCCAGTTGGGGGCCTTCTAGCAGACGAGGAGGAGCCCACGAGACCGTCTGGGTATACCAGAGTGAGACCACCTTGCAAGAGTACCCCATCTGGGGGAAGATGGGGCTCTACCCAGGAAGTGGTTACGTAGCCGATCTGGGCACCAATGCAAGTCATGCCGCAAGGTACGCAGGCTAGGAGACCCACAGGTGGGGTTGGATGCCAACGTTCGGTATCATCCTGGACTGAGATTTCCAGGGGGCAGCTGTATTAATCTGTTTCTATTGAATAAATGCCAACAAGGAGTTCGGTTGCACCTGAAAACACTAAATCAGTTGCATTCCTGGTTTGCGTTTGCAAACCGAAGCCCACTTTTTGCATATGTACGAAGCAGTGCTCCAGCTGACTAGACTCTAAATGCTAGCGGGCTGGGTGGGAGAGAGTGGAAATTCATCCGTATTTCAGTTACATGTTGCATCTCCTGCTGCCTTTTCTATGCTGCTGCCAATGTCCGTCTGAGGAAGTTTTGCTCATTGCATCAGCAGCTGCAGTCAGTAAAAGCTCGTAACAAATAAAACTTTTCAACACAAAACCAAACAACAAGAACCAGCCACTTCCTGCAAAAGGTGAGTGCTGGTTGGTCTCCTAATCTCTGCTGATAAGAAATACTTAAGCAGGTGGATCTGGTGGAAGCTGGCATTTCTGCAGGTGCAGTGAATCTAAGCCATGTTTTAGTCCAAACTTTACAGGAGCTGTCAAGGATGTTGAGCCCTATTCCCCCCAAAAACAGTTTCAGCACCTTGGAGAGCTCTGTAAACTCAATGTCACCAACCTTGGCTGAGAAGCATGATGTGAAGGAATGCCCGGTTGAAAGGCTAACCAATCTCTTGGAGACATCATTCAACCCTGAAGTTGAATCAGGCCAAAGGGGGGCAGGGGAGAGAAGGTGTCGGTAGAAATCAGCATCTCCCTGGCACTTCTCCCATTGGTCACTGACACCACCCCCTGCTCCCAGAAAGCCTACAACTCTGTCTCTTCCTTCTTACTGTGCAAAAGCACTCTGCCTCCGTTTTTAGCTAAGGCACAACTCAAGAATAATGAGTGCTAATTAAAAGAACTCTCCTGCCTGAATTAGTCTAGCCAGGGCCAACCGGTGGGGGCCAGCCAGCCACTGCTTTATTTTTAATATAGTGGAGAAGGAGGAGTTTGTGGGAAGGAATAAATGACACGATGGGTGCAGGTTCAAAATATCCAGTGTATCTCTGTGTTGTGGGAGACGTTAGAGCATCCTTTTCCTAGCCCTGTATGGGACAGGATTCAACTTCCCCTACCCTGGCCAGAGGCCCTCCAGCGGCACCCTTCAGAGGTGGGAAACCGAGCCAACCTCCCTCCCTGCCCTGCCTCCAGGGTCCTTTGCTATCTGGAAAGGAATAAATGGCTGGACCGACACACACAAGCCATTTTTGTGGAGTTTGTGGTCTACAACGTGAACGTCAACCTCTTCTGTGTGGTCACGCTCATCCTGGAGAACAACGGCTTAGGTGAGAAGGGCTGGACCAACACTGGCAGCCTTCCCCTTGCTGGGATGATGGCCAGAGATGACGTGGGACTGAGCAGGGCTTGGGGCCTCTTCCTTCCTCCCCTGGCAATGGCCCTCCACCCACCTGCCTCTGCCTCCCTTTGCAGGAGCCCTGCTGAACAAAGTGGACCTCCAAATTCTCCACCTCTATCCTAACGTGAACACAATCATTCCAATGGCCTGCGCCCACATTGCCTTCCTCCTGTTCCTCTTGTACTACCTCCTGGCGCAGGTGAGGAAGGGGCTGGCGGGGCGGCTCAGCTCCACAGGGAAGGGAACTGCTAGTGTGCACCACACCGGAGAGCAAGACCACGTGGGCTGTCCCAGCAATGGCTCGCCTACACATCCCTGGAGGCAGGCCATTGGCTTGGCTGCCTAGGGACGATGGGAGTGGCAGTCAAATAGGATCTCGTAGCCCACGAGGTGCCCACTCCTGACCGATGTGGCGGAGGCGGCTCGAGCACCACGCCTGTACGTAGCTATGCTGCGACTCCCTCCCCCAGTCGCGTCCAGGACTCTAGGGAGCGAAGCCCAGCCGGCCTGCTTCTCCTGGGAGCTGGATTCAGGCCTGCCTCCCTCTTGGTTCCTGGCAGGGCCAGAGGCTGGCGCGACAGCGACTGGGGTACTTCCGCAGCAAAGGGAACCTTCTAGATGCCGGCGCTGTCCTTATCGGTGTGGCGATCGTTGGCCTCTATGTGAAGAGGACCCTCCTGGCAGAAAGCATCCTCAGGCAGCACCGCCAGAACCGCCACCAGTAAGCAGCCGCCGTTTTATCACCAACGTCCCCTCTCTCTCTCGTCCTTGCTTGGGACCGTGACCCACGGGGACGGAGCTGCTCTTCCGCCCACCTCCCCGGGGCAGAAGGAAGACCCGGTCCCTTCCGCCCGTCCTTCTCGCAGGTTCATCAGCTTCTATGGGATGGCGGAGGTGGACTCCGCTTTGACGTACCTGATTGCCTTCCTGCTGGCCCTGACGACGGTCAAGCTGTGGAATCTCCTCCGCCTGAGCCCTAGGATGTACCTCATCACGCAGACTCTGCAGAAAGCTTGGGATGAAGTCATGGGTTTCCTCCTGGTCCTCCTGGTCCTCCTGGCGGGCTATTCCATCGTGGTAAGGCATCCAACCAGCTGGGGAGGGGGGGTGCCCCAGAAGAAGGGGGGGGAATTAGAGAGGAGGGGGCTTGAGGTGCCCCTCCCCCTCCATTCTCTCCTCCACTTTTACTCTCCTGTCAAACATCAGTGCAACCTCCTGTTCGGATGGAGCATCTACGACTACAAGACCTTCTTTGACTCGGCTGTGACCATCGTTGGCCTCCTGATAGGGATCTTTGACTACGAAGAGGTAAGCGCGCCTGGAGTTACGGGCCAATCCACGCGGCTGCCGTTGCTGCCACCACCTGATCCATCTTGCAGAAGAGCCTAACCCGGCTCAAAAATCCACAGGGAGACTGTATGCACTCCATGCTCACATAACTAAACCCTCTGAGCTTCATGCAGCACGGCCAACCCTTGCAATTTCCGGTGTGCACGGAGACAGGATATTGGCATAGGTTTTGTGCTAAAGCAACAGAGAACCCTTAGGCACCTGGGAAAACTAATAAGATGTCATTTCTCAATGTATTTTGCAGACTGTAGCCCAACTTGCCAAAGCAAGCTGCAGTCTATGAAAACTGGGAGCAAATATAATTTGCCCTTCAGGTGCCAGAAAACTCTTCCTTTCCTTCGCTGCAAGTAACGCAGCTACCCCCACAAACTCTTGTGTTGTTCTCTATGATCCAGGTCATTGCTTTGGACCCTGTGCTGGGCTCCATCCTGATTAGCACCAGCATTATTTCCATGGTTTTCGTGATCATCAACCTCTTTGTCTCGGTCCTTCTGACTGTCTTTGGGAGGGAGATGAAGGCCGCCAAGGTAAGTCCCGCAACCCACGGGCTTGCGCCTGTCTGTCTCGCGGACCAGCAAAATGCAGTCAAAGACTTCCTCATTCAGGTCCAGCACTGAGAGGTACACCAGGAAGGGGAGGAATTAGTTTGATCACCAGGATCTTTTCTCCTGACGCAGGCCAGCAAGGAGGAATCCATGATGCAACTGATTCAGCTGAAGCTCTCGCTCCTGCTTGGAATCAAGCAGCGTGCTCAACAGGCAGAAGCACCGGGCCCTGGCGAAGGACAAGCAGCCTCTTGTGGGATCCCTCCTCCTGTGAAGTGACGCCAGAAGCTTGTGGGTTTGGCAAGAAGACCTGCAGGCATTTTTTTGGAAGGCTGTGGGTTGAGGAGGGGATGTGCGCCTTCCACTTAGCCACTCCGTCATGACTCAGAAACGGTTTGTCCTCCCCTGTTGTATCCCCTTCTCTTTCCGTGGGACTTTATTCCCACACACGCGAGTCAGCAGTGTTGAGACTGCCAAGGCTTAATCACGTTCATTTCCTGGTTTTCAAACGCTGCATCTCTAATGATGCAGAAAAAACAGGGTTTTGATGTAGTGCTTCCTCCTCTCTCGCAGTGCAAAACAAACCTGTCCAACCCCAGCTGGAAACCCAGCCCAGATCCCTAAAGGACAGGAGTCGTTCCCTTTTGTCTCTTTCTGAAGATCCTAAGAAGCCGGACAAAGCTGGACGGTGGTTGTCCAATCTAGCCAATTCCGAGGCCAGCTACCTGCTATGTGGATGCTGTCCCCCCCGCCCTGCCTTATAAATGGACTGTACAGAGAAGCTGGTTCTGACCTACACAACTTGCTCTTGAGGAAAGGAACCTGAACCGAAAACCCTAAACGTTTGAAATCTTCTTTCAGCTTGTTCCCATTCTATACTCCCAGTAAACAGTACTCTTTGTCTGACTTGTGTGTGTTGATAGATGGCTTGTGAGAACTTGTGAGCAAATAACAAGATCATCCTGAGAAGACCAGGGACCGAGAAGGTGGCTCCAGAGGCTGGCAGCACCCTCTTCCTGTTCTCCTAACGCCACCACATTAGGAGAACAGGCATGCTCCTCTAGCCATGTGGCCAACTCAAGAGGGACGCTGTTCCGACTGAGACAAACCCAACAAAGGTGACTCTTCAACTTTATTTAGAGTTAACAGAGAAGGTACAAACCCACCAAATTTGTCCCCGAAAAGCCACATGAAAATGTTACATACAGAGGCGTTGTTACATGGGAGAGCAGAGGCTGCCCCTGATGCCGTCGCTGGTCCATAGTGAGCAGCTGCTGCCGCTGCAGCTGCCGCTGCCGCCACCGGGTGTGGCTTTATCCTACAGGCCACGTAGGTAGAGAAAAAGCAGAGGTTGAGCAACCGCCCTGAAGCCAGCCGGGGCAGGGGGGAGGGAGAGCAGCTGCAGGCCCTGGAAAGAGGGCCCACGTGGGCCCTGCTAAGGCAGAGTCAGGTCTCCTTTCAGGTGGGGAAGCACGCTAGGTTCTCCACCAGCTCCAAGCGGAAATAGGACAGAAGCAACAGAAACCCATGTGTGTGTGTGTGTGTGCATGGGGGGGGTATCTCCTGCGCTCCACAGCACCCCTCCCCAGGGGAAAGGTCCTAAAGGCCCCAGAGGGTTCCCTGAGAATGTGGCAAGCAAAACAAAAGGCAGCAGGGCCTCCCTTCCACAGCGCACGTCCAGGGGAGGGCTTCTTTCCCACCAAGTGGCCCAGAAAGCTTTCCACCGTGGTTGCCATGCCGGTCTTTCTTCGAATGAGGCGCTAGTTCCACGGTCACCTCCTTCTCCCCCTTCAGATGGCAAAGCCAGGCCTTCCAAGGGCTGCCCAGGCCTCATCGTCCCCCTCCTGGAGCAGAATGGAGGGCGCTGGAAAAGCAGCGGCGCGGAGTGTGAGTCGAGCAGGAAAAAAAGGCCAAGAGGAGGAAGAGGAAAAAAAGTGGAAAGAGCACCCAGTTCTGCTAAGAGGGGCTGCACCGCACCACACACCCGCCCAGGCCGGCTGGCCACCTTCTGAGGTGCTCCTAGGTCTTCTTCTTTAGCTCCTCAAATCTCCGGGAGAGGTCGTCGAAGTCAATGTCTTCTGAGGCTGAGCCACTCCCGCCAACGGAAGCAGCGGGGAGCGTGTCTGGCACAGACGGCAACTCGGGGAGTACGAAGTTGTCCCCTTTCCGGGGCAAAGGAACCGGCGGTCGCACCCACCCATCGGGCTTTGGACCAGGACCTGCAGGAAAAAAACACAAAAACCCAGGAGTGTCAGGGGCAGCCCGGAAGAAAGCAATAGGTGTTCCTTGACTGCTTTGCCCATCCCCTCGCAGCCCATAACAGCCCACCCGAGGCTCATTGCAGGCCCTTCCTGGGACTTACCAGTCACCTGCGACGATGGCACTTCCTTGTCCGTACCTATGTCTTCAATCTAGGAGAGAGAAAAACCAGAGTTGCCGCAGAAGGTTTTACAGAGGAGTCCCCAACAGACCCATTAAAAGCTGCTGCTAAGAAAAATCCAACAAGGAAAGTAACAACAACAACAACAACAGCAACAGCAACAACAACTCTCGCTGTTGGCCCTCTCTGGGCCTTAAATCTATTCCTGGATGCAAGACAAAGCAGCAGCCTGAGGGGTACCAAGGGGGTGAGAGAGAGTAAGAGAGCGAGAATTGTTGTGCAGATCTTCCTTTCCTCGTGGCTAGGGATGTGAACTTTCTCCAGGAAAGTCCACCAGAACCATGGAAAGCACATGCAAGACGGAATCCTCATTCAGGCAGGCATTCTCCTTTAACCCTGATGCCAAATGCACCCCCCCCCCCAGGAGTCATAAGCAAAACAGAAGACCCAGGACCCAGGTGCAAAAAGGTATCCCTCAGTTACTGAAAAGGGGGGGGGGAGAACCTTCCTCTGCTCAGCAGGTGACCTATATCCCATCCCACTCCCACCAATAAAAACTATGCAAAAACAATAAACAGGAGGCAAAGAAGGTGGCAGTGGTTTGAGAAAACACGTCTCTTCATAGAAGCTAGACTTTGCCCTTTGGCTCAGTAACTTACAGACTCGTATGTTGGGGGTGTGGCTGGAATCTGAGGAGGGTGGAGGCTGGTGAAAGGTTGGTAGGTGCCCACCGGCAGCCCATTGAGGTTTTCCTAGAGAGCAAAGGAAACGAATCCAAGAAGAAGCATCCTTTCAGGATAAGAAGAGCAGGCGCACGGGCGAGAAAGGGCCCCCAAACACTAGCTCAACCACCACCAGGAAAGGGCTGCTTCCCTGCTACTGCCACCGATGTTCCAGACCCCAACAGCACGACATCTTGCTGCCCCTTCAAAGCAACACCTAGGCACTTACCGGCCCTTTTGGTGGTGGGTAGGAGAAAGGCGGAACTGGTGATGGCATGGGCATGGGCATCGGCATGGGCACGACTCCGTCAGGACCGACCAAGGGGGCTGTGAAGCCACCGCCGCCTCCTCCTCCTCCTCGGCCCCCTTTCTTTGCCTCGTCCACAAAGCCCACATCAATGAGGTCTGCCTCCACGCCTGTGGGAGCCTCAGCCTAGGGAGGGAGAGCGGCGAGCATCATCGAGGGGGCAAAGGGCAGAGAACAAAAGGGAGGATGAAGCTGGCACCCAACCCTTCCTCTCCCGCAGGAAGCCTCACTCACCATGACCACAGAGTCTGGCTCGTAGGGCACGTTGTAGTTCTTGGCGATCTCAATCAGGTATCTCTCCACTAGGATTTTTGGAGGTGCCTCTACGCTGAGCTTGTGCATTAGCTAGACAAGGAAAAAAGCAGAGGTTCTTTGTTCCACCTCTTCTCCCCACTTAGCCTGAGACATAAAGAGGACCTTCCTAAGACCCACCCAAGCCAATCAAACTTCAGGCTTCTATCAGTGGGCCTTATTTTTACTTTCACACCACCATGCATAAAACAGAGGGCACCTCCCAATGCACCTTTCTTCCCAGTAGGAAACTGTGCAAGCTTGCATGCACGCAGACCCCCCCCCTGCCATTCACCCGAGTCCTCTCTCACCCTGTCGTTGACAGTCCCGATCTGGTTGGTCCGGCACAACTTGCCATATTCTTTGCTGTACTTGGCACACAGTTGGTCAGCAACCTGGGAAAAGAGAACACCTTTTCAACATGGAGACCAAATCCCACGAGTTGGTTTTCTCAGGAACTGCGCTTCTGCCCCTTGCCTTCACATAACGTGCTGGACAGAGAGAGCCTGGACACAGGAGAACCTGCTTCCGTTTCTGTCTCGACCAAGAAAAGATTCACAGGCTTGCAACAGAATCATATTCTCTCCTGTGAGAGTGAAAAGGAGAGCCAGGCAGGTTCACAGGATCATGGAGTGGGAAGGGACCTCTAAGGCCATCAAGACTAACCCTCTGCTCAGTGCAGGAATCCAGTTCTGCATCACCCACCCACATAGGCCCTCCCCAGAAAGCAGTTCAGGGTCCAACTACTCACTATTTTCAGCTCAGCCACCTCTGACTGCAGCCGGGGGGCTGCCCAGATGAGAGTGGAAACAGCTTCTGCCAGGCCAGAGTCCAGTTCTCTGCAGGGATAAGAAAGCCACAGGGCTTGCTCTGGGTTTGAACCGTCCAGAGCGCTATGGCACAGGGACAGTACGTACCAGCAAATACCTCCCACCCAAGTTTACAGGACCTTGTTCTAGCCACCGAAGGCCCTTACTTCATAGACTGGATGAGACCAAAGCGGGCCAGCAGCAAGTCGCAGTACAGCTCCAGGATCTCCATGGCTTCCACCAGGTAGTCCTCTCGGATAATGTGCTCCACACGGATGCGAGCCCGCTCATCTTTGCCGGCAGAGAGGTAATCGGCAATTTCCTTCCGTGCTTTCTGGGCTAACTCCGCTGCAAGACAAGAGCCCGTCAGAGAGATGGCCTGCAAGGGTTCGGGGGAGCTCTGTGGGGAGGCAGCAGCTCCACGGTGCCGGTGCCGCTCGGCCAGGGCCCCCTCTCTGCCCTGGTTCTCAAGGGCTGAGCATGCACTTAAGTACCTTCAAAGCACATAAACAATCCAGTTACACCCCAACAACAGCAGGCTAGGAAGGGGGGGGCACGTCTGACCCTGACTTCCCGCCATTCACACTCACTTTTCTTCTTCTCCAATAACTTGAGACGATTGATGACCAGGCGCAGATTGACTCGCAACCGCTCGGCCTTGAAGCCCGAGCCCAGCATGGTGCGGGATTCCTGCGAGGAACATCAACAAGGAAACCTTTGTGCTACAGACTCCAGGCAAGGCAGCTGCCAACTTCCGCCTCAAAAGGCTCTGACGGCGGCGCGGCGGCACTACCGCCACCGCCCTGCCTTGTTCTGTCCCTCAAAGTCCTGTTTCCTTGCCCGGCGGTCTTTCCTGCAATGAGTCTC